TGCAGGCCTGACCTGGGACATGGTTTCTAGACCCAGCTCTGCCACTGATTTATTGCCTGACCTTGAACAGATTCTGTCTGTTTCCACTTACGTGCTATCTTGTATCTAACAGAGAACTTAATTCCTTGGGGCTGGGACCAGGTCTTACTGTGAGCTTGCAGGATTTTAAGGGTCCCAGCCTGCAGGTGTTGCTACTAAACCAAAAATCAGCTCTAGGTGGGAGGGGAAGTACAACTCACCAACTGGCAGGAGCGACTGGGTATTAAAGTGGTGCTGGTTCTTCCACTGCCTGCTTGTTGCTTTCTGTGGTTGTCTTCCTCGGCTGTTAGTAAGTTATTTGCTATGGGGTAAAAAAGGCGATGGTTGCTGCGTGTACTCTTAATATGAACACATAAAACCCTCCTTTGTTTATGACTTAAAAAGCTGCTGTTCCTTTCTTACTCTTCGGCTGTTTGCATGTAGCAGGTCACTCTCTATCTCTCCCCTCTATCTTTTCCTCCTGCCATCCACACGCTTCTGCCTTATGCTATTGGTGTCTTGCCATAATTTAGGTACAAAGTCTTTTTTTTTGGTAGCACCTACTTCAGTCCAGCTATTGTAATAAAAGTTCTATTCTTACTAATATGCTGGGATTTTTATCTTCTGAGGCAATCAGTTTGGTGCAATACATTATAACTCCTCTGCTAGCCAGCATTTGGTACTGGTGTCTCCTACCCCACCATAACTTCTGCATGGATACACTCATTTTGGTTTCGTTCTTTGTTAGCTCTTGTTCACCATCATCTGGGAGATGGAGGGGAGTTTGCACTAGTCGCTTAGCATTTGGTACTCGCTCAGTTTTTCAATCTCTTACCGTAAGGTGTTTCTAAAGCCAATATCTTGTTTCTTTATGGCTGAGAAATCCATGGGGAAAGGCTTTGTGTTATTCTGTTCCCATATTTTGTGCCACAAAGAGAAGCCTCATCATTCCTCTTTAATGTCACTGTATGCACTGAGTTTTTATGTTTCCCTCTCCATTTTCTGTTGCGTGCACTCATTTCTTCTGCTTGTAAAACCCCACCTAACATGTGTATACCTATTCTCCCCTCCCTTCAGCTAAAATGAAAGCAGGATGCACTGTGGGAATGTTAATTGTCATAAGAAATGGAGAATCAAAGGAGTTTTGTCTGGGGGATGCTGTTTGAGGGAGGTGGTGTAGGTAACAGTACCTTTCAGCACAGCGTTCAGAGGCCAGCTGGGAGACCAAGGGTGGTAAGATGGTTTGTACTCAATTTGTTTCTCTTTTTAATACTTTTTTACCGGTAACTCAACTTTTATTCTAATGTTTCTTACTCTTAGTATCATATCAGTTTGTTCTGATTTCAAAGTCTGCAAGAAAGTGAGAGGAAAACCAGCTGAAGCTGTAAGATTGATTTTCCTGTTGTTTCTGAGATTTGCCTACAGTTTTGATTAAGATCAGTTGTTATTAAAGACTATGGAAGCTACTCTCTCCTCCAAAATGCAGCTGAGTAATGCGACCTCCCCCCAGCCCAATCTAGAGCTAGACTGCAGAGAATCACTCCTTGTTTCCAGGTTTTGAAGCTACCCCTTCTTCTCAGCTGCAAAACATCTTCTTGTTGTAATGCACAAGCCATTTGTTCACTTCATTGCTGTGACCAGGTATCTGTGAAGGCGTTTCGTTCTGCATACAGGCAGCTCCTTAGCACGTATGTACATTGTGCAGCCATGTCTAAGTTTACCTACACGGGCACTGAATTCAGCCTGGACAGTAAAGGATGTGTCAAGATTCTGTACGGAAACCACAGGTTTGTCAGTGTGATGGAAAATGATCTGAAACCCTCACACTGAACAGGAGGGAAAAAAGCAGGTCACAGAACAAGGTACAGAGAGTGTGAGTTTGTCACGTAACCTTGTTGTTGGAAAAAGCTGTAGGAGTGCTGCAGTGTGAGACTGGGAGGACATGGTCCTGTGGACATTTCTGCATGTACTAATGTTATATATAAGTAACTCAACTGCAGCTAATGGGGACGTTAAAAGTAAAGTATATGCCTACGCTCTTGCAGCCCATGTGCTTCTTCCCCCCTGCAGCTGACTTAGTGCCATGACCTGGCTGTGTTACCAGAGCTTACTGGAAAAAAAGTTGTGAGTCCTAAGAAGAGCAACAAAAAACATAAGGGGGCTTGAGACTGAGTGAGGGGAAAGGTTGGCTCCTTGGTGATAAAGTGAGAACTGAGACACTTTGCAAACTGTACAGAGAGAGAAGGGAGAGGGGTTGTGGAGAGGTGGCACCATGAGAATTGGCAGAGGGAGAAGGAAATTATGAGTAACAAGTGAAATAAAGACCCAAATATTTCATGGCTGATTTGCCACTGATAGCAGTTAGCCTGGGGAGCCGATGTTTTCTTATAATTTGCGATGTGTTTGTTCTGTTTCCTGTCAGTCTCTGACAGTCCTAAAGGGCATTGCTTCTGCCTGGAAATGGACAAATCATCCGTACTTTGCAGTAAGAACAAGCATGCACTGGCCTTTGTTGGAGGGGCTGGCAGGAGCCCCCAGAGCGTTTCCAGCTCTTCTCTCTGAAATATTTTCAAAGTGTCTATAGAATATGGGAGCCTTGAATTTCTTTCAGAAAGAATTTCTATGTGATTGCCTGGATTTTGCTAATACAGAACAGAGGTAGTGCTCTGCAAGGAGTTTGGGAATCTCCCCATGGAATTCAATGGCAATGAGATAAAATCAGCACTGGAGAATCCAGGAGTCTTCTGGAACATGCAAAATGGAAAGGACATCAGTGATCTGGGTCTCAGGTTTACAGTTTTTCTCTAGTGCAAAAAAAAAATCAACAAAAATTAAAGGGAACCTGGAAGAGGAGACCCCAGAAATGGCTGCCAAAATGAGCACTGAGTGAAGAAATTCATTTTGCTGCAAGCACTTTCCACATTTGTGCTGTCAAGAGAGTATAAGGATCTGACCTTCTTCTGCTACAGGGAATGCTGCTCCATGGGCGAGGCAGGTAGTTCTTCATTTAGTTGTGTTTGCTGAGCAACATTGATAGTCTTCTGCTGAAAAGGATAAATTAGCTTAAGAGAGATTGGACTGCTTCTCATTCCTATGCTCCTTTGGCTGGACTGAACAAGACACCTCTGCACAGTGCTTTATTCCTCCCTTTGGACCAGTCTAACCAGTGTGTACCCTCCTTGGTCTTTGTTGCTTTTATACAGGGACTTTTTCCCACATTGTCACTGAGCAGCTGCCTCCACAGGTCAATCTGACCATGGAGATGCTTTTGCCCTGTAACTGCATTTTGCTACAAGTTTTACCAAGAGCTGGGAGCACCTCCCGGGAAGAGCCAGGGATAGTAGCTTCTACTGTGTATTGTCCCTACAAGCAGAGGAAGAAAAGATCTGCCCCAAATGCCCATCAAGGCACTGGTGAGGGGTTGCTTGCCGTGCCTCCTCTGTCTGAGGGACAGCCTGGGGGCCTGTTGCTGCCATTTCCCTTTAAATGTCTTTGGGAAGTTTGCTGTAGTCGGAGAGCTGCTCTGCAGGACGTGCTCCTTGGGCGGCTGGGGAGCTAGAAGGCACAGCCCTGCTGAGGCCGGCCGAGCTGTCACTGCCTTTCACCGTGGCCGGGCTCTCGCGGCAGCCCCTGTCCTGCTCAGCCTTCCACCAGGCAGCCAATTACCGAGAAATCCCACTGTGTGGCTGGCTCTGAACGGCCACCGCGCCAAGGCCTGGGCTGACCCATGTCCTGCCACAGCTGGGCGAGGGCTGCCTCCCAGCCGGCGAGCTGGAGGGATGCGCGGGGATGTTCAGCAGGAGAGGGGAGCTGAGGGCCTGTGAAGCTCTGACAGGCGGCCGGACATGGGGCTTTTCAGGAAGACCCTGCCTGGAGCTCTTGAACATCTCTCCAGCTCCTGAATATTCATCTCAGCCTGGGCTGCAGAACGGGGCAAAGCCAGGCCAGGTGGCTGTTGCCGCCCAGCAGTAGCACAGCCGTGCTGCCCAAAGAGCTGGGAGCAGTCTGCTCGCTGTGGGGGTGAAACCTCTTCCCAGAGCCAAAGCACTAGCGTCTCCACGGTCTGAGAGCTCAGGGTCTCTGGGACTTCAATCAGCCCTCTGTTGACTTGAATCTTTAGTGCTGGTGTACTCTGCCCTTGCTTTGTGCCTCCAGTTAACCTCTTCCTCTCTCTGTTTTTGCTCAGTCTCCATCTGTTATAGGACTATGTCAATCAAAAAGCATGCAATGCTTTTGGGGCCTTGCTCCTATAGCAGGATTCAGCGTGCACCCAGTTTTTCTTCCTTACCCCCATTCTTTTGTCTCTAGTGTCCTTTTTAGGTGGAGTAGCCATAGTCCTTGGCTGGGAGGACCCAGTGACCCAGACATTGGCCATTCCAGGGTCACACTGGAAATCACGAAAAGGTTTATGACATTACAGCTAGGTGCATCTTCCCCAGTCTTTGTGTCTGGTAGACCACCAGCATATCCTTCCTCAGGTGTCAGGAAGGTCACAGGACTCTGTGCCGGCTGAGACCCAGCCAGCAGCTCCTTCAGCATGTAGTCTTACTTGGCTTCTCTCAGTTTCTGCTCCACGTTTCATTTCTAACAGAGTCTAGGTGACTGGTGGCTGAGCTGAGCACATGATAACACATACGAAGCAAATTCTTGCCAGTCTTAGGATGACGGCAAGTAGGCAGCGGGGTTCAGTGCAGCTGGCTTCTTTCAGTTTCACGGTTGTGTTCAAATGCATGGTCCATGGTATGGAGTCCTACCCAGCCCAAATCTGCTCCTCTTGCGAGATTTCTTTTGACCCCAAGCTTCAAAGCTTTATTGTCTTGTTTTAATATTGAACAATATATTTTTAATCATTGCCAAATAACTGTCTTGTGTTTTCTAATAAGAAACAGGTTGTTTCATATCTGTGAAGCAAGGTGTCTTGTCTCTAGTGAGAGAAGAGCATAACACTCCCCACTTACTGCTCCTGCTTTCTCTCGTTGCAGACATTCCCGTGATCCCTGACTTGGAGGAACTCCAGGAGGAAGATCTGGCCACGCAAGTGGCAGCTCCTCCCAGGTAAGAGCTCTGCCAGGTGTTCTTGAGGCTCTCATCAGCAGTGCGAAACGGCTGGTGAAATTAAACTCCATCTTATCTCGTGCTCTCTGGCCATCAGTGGCAGTGGCATTCAGCAGGGTTTGATGCTGTGTATTGTGGCAGTGGGGCTACAAGCTGAACAGTGTGAACTGCTTGTTTCCTGTTATGCAGTAATTGCTTTTTCTGTGTATTTTCTCTATATATACAAAAATTACATTAAAGTAGCATGTTTGATGTTGCAAAATCAAATTCTCAAAAGTTAGGAATTGCTTGATTTAAAGTTGCCTTTATAACCTCAGATGCCTCCAGTACACATCTATTATCACACAGACTTTGATTATGCATGGTCATAGGCTGCTTTGCCCTCCACAAGATACCCTTCTTACTCAACTGTCTAGTTAATTTGCAGAGTACACTCCTGGTGTTTGTAGGTGTCTTGGGGTTAACTCAAGGGAGCCCAGCAACTTTTTAAATATGAAAGATTTGGGGGTTTTATCTTAAATGTATCAGTAAAGTCTTCTTTCCCCTGTTGTGGGCCTATTGCCAAGATCACAGACTGGGATTTCTAGTGACCCTTATTTGGAGGGGTGGGATATTTTGCTCCTGATCACAGATGCCTCTCTCACAAGTATGAAGTAGGTATTGTAATTAAATAGCTGTTATAAATGACACTTTATAGTAGAAAATTTAAAATTACTTTGCCTCTCACCAGAGTTCATGTTTGTGATTTCTCTCTTTTTTTTATAATCCCATCTGCTACTCCTGTATGCATAGTCTCCCTGCAGTAGAAAAGACAAGTGATTTTAATGGACAAACACAAACAGCAATTAAATTAATACAGGTCTTTTCTATAGTATCGCATCACCTGCGAAGGGAAGCACGGCACAACAGTCTGTTACGCCCCTACCCCGTGTTTGTCTTTGCAGGCTACATTGTAAGAAATTGTATTTGATAACTGTCACCCAGCTCAGACATGGCAATCACAAGATCCCTACTATTCTGTAGCATGTGTGGTGGGGGCTCTCGCAGCCTGCTGGGGCTATTCCAACGTTCACTATGTTCCTGTTTTCTTTCTAGCTCTTGCAGCTAGTCTGTGGATCTTCTCTCTGGCATGCTGGCCTCTCTGGCAGAGTCTGTGGTCACTTCACGTCCTATTTTTATGCATGTGCACAACTTGGCATGCAGATTTGTCAATGATTGTTCATTCGCTGAATGAGATTTGCTTCTATCTGGGGACACCCATCTTGAGAGTCCACATAGGTGATGTAGACACTTGAGATGGGTGTCGTCAGATTCCTGTTCATGCCACCCTTCTCCTCAGATGTGCTTCCATGCTTACCCAGGCTTGTTCTTTGACCATTTTGATTGCAGTGTGCAGGTGAACCGAGTGCTGACCTACCATGACCTGGACAAAGATCTTATGAAATATGCCGCCTTTCAGACTCTGGTAAGTGGATGTTGCTCTGGGGTGACCGATGTGACTCCCTGTCCTTTCAGGCTCCCGTCATCCTCCACAGTGGTATTCAGCTGCATAAAATATACAGCCCTATCATCCAAACAACTTCCAGTCTGTTTTCAAGTCTTTTCCTCTCTGGAGTGTGACTTTCATGCTTGTTTGTGCCTGTAGATAGTGTGGGTATGGTATCTGCTGCTCAGATGAGGCTCCTGCTGTTGTCCTGGGCAAAGTATATATCCCTTATGAAGCAAATGTGCCTATCTCAGCAAGATTTACCTAGTGAAAAGATGATGTCCACTTTCTCACTGTCTGTAAGACTGTGGCTATGTGTGTTCATAGGATGGAGAGGTTGACCTGAAGCTTCTCACCAAAGTTTTGGCTCCAGAGCATGAACTACGAGAGGTGAGTTTTTCCTTTTGTGGGAGTACCAACAAGGCAAAAGCTTCTTATGTGTCTCAGACTATATTTGGAAAGCAAGCCTCTGTCAGTGGGGTGGATGAAGAGGAGCCTGTGAAGAGGAGCTTGTCCAAGAGGGTGGAAATCTGATTCCCCCAGCAGATTATTTTAAAGAGATATAGGGCTTTCTCAATGATTGGCCCCTTCAGTATGAAAGAGCTAGTAAGGAAAATATGAAGGGCCTGGTGCTGTCACAGATCCCTGCAGAAATAGTGCTCTGTGTCTTGTCTTTTTGGTAGCCACCGTGAGCTCCAGATAGTTCCTCAGGGCGGTACAGAGGGACAAAGGCAGAAGCATTTGGAGCCTGGGCAGGGGAATGGGTTAAAGTGGGACAGAACAATCTCAATACAACTGAGGGGCAGGAGCTCAGGACTTGCTGCAAAGGATTTCTGCAGCTCAGAATTGCAATTGCAATATATATTTGCAGGAAACGGTAACATTACTTCTAAGCCAATGTCCTTCAAAGCCTTGTCCTGCTGGAGAATCTTGCTATATAATTTTGGGGAGCAGTGCAGGTGCTGGGAGGAAGTGTAGAAGGGTTGAAGATTTTTATGGCTCCTTCTTACACCCTGTCTGGGAGTATCTAAGATTAACAAGTATCAAAAAACCTATCTTTTATGAAATTTTGGAACATGAATAATTCTGTCAAATTCTTTAAATTGTAGCAGGAATTCACATTTCATTCTGGCTAGGATTTCTATTCTAGCCAACTGAATCTGGGACTTCCCTGGCAGGGGCAGTTGCCATTTAGTTTCTCTTCTTTGCTGTTCATCTTGAGTATGTGGCATTGATCAGAGACCTTTGGGTGTCACCAGTTAACATTTCAGCATGTTTGTCTTTTTCCTCTTGGTAGGATGATGTCAGCTGGAATTGGGACCATCTCTTCACAGAGGTGTCCTCAGAGCTAGTGACTGAATGGGACCTGGGGCAATCTGAGAGAGAGGACCATCTCAGTCTGCCCTAGAACACTGGCACGCCAGACATCTCATACATGAATCCCCTGTAAATAGTTTAGCACTTTATTTTCTATTCACTTCTTTGTATTTGAGAATTTATTTCAGACCTGAAAATAAATAGGATCTTGCTTCATGGGAAAACTGGCTTGGGAGAAGTTTCGGGTATTTTTTATTAAAAAAACTTTGTTCTCAAAAGAGATGTAAGAATTCTAAACACAATAAAAGATTTACTTATTTACTTATGAATAGTCACTTCCACCCACTAGCACCTTTACAGATAACTGCAATGGTTGATCTTTCCACTACTGAAATGCAGCCTCTCTGGGGTGGACCATCTTACAATGGAGTGTGGTTTTCACTGGTGGCTATCCAAGAAGCTTAGGCTGATAAGATGTGTTTGCCTAGGACAACAAGACTATGAGTTGTCAGAATAGCCCTTTTAGGTTTCGTCCAGCAGCCTCCAACCATCCCCTGCTAGTTTAAGCTCTCTTCTGGAATATTACCTCTGCATTGACTCAGAGGAAGCAGCCTCACCTATTAAACTGCCAACACCACTTCTTACAACACCTCTTTTTCCCCCTGAGGTGTCCCAGATATGTTCTGACCAGGCCTAACCCCGCTTAGCTTTTGCAGTCAGATGAGATCACAGCCTGAATGGAGATAGCTTCAGGCAATAGGTAGTTTGCAAAGAAAATACTGTTTATTCCATGCATGTGAAAGAATGGAGCCTGCTGCCCTGAAACAAGGTAACTCCCCGGTGGATGTCTCTTTGGAACCAAGTAACCCACTCTTACTTAAGTCATCTAAAGAAAAAATCAATTTAGCTGTTAATGCCCTGTCCCCGTAGAACCATGGTCATTATTTGCAGGAAGCAGTAACATTACTTCTAAGCCAATGTCCTTCAAAGCCTTGTCCTGCTGGAGAATCTTGCTATATACTTTTGGGGAGCAGTGCAGGTGCTGGGAGGAAGGCTTGCCGTGCTGCTTTTCTTAGCTTGTTTGATTGGTCTGATAGAGCACTGCATTTCCACTCTTGTACTGACAGCAGGACAGGTCAAAGATCTCACTGCGAATTCTGTGGTATTTCTGATCAGAGTTGATAGGCCAAACAATTCTACCAACAAGAGAGAAGCAATTGGATTCCAGTCTGAGACCACCAAAATAAGAGGAGGCTTATCTGTTTCAAGGAGACACAAAGCCTTTTACAATGAAGAAATCTCCTCTGTGACTAGAAAACTAGGTGAGACAGAAGCTTGGGAGTCCAGACCCAAAGTCCAGGGTCTTTGAGGCATGAAGCAAATGTAACTTTCTGTGCCCTGAGAATGAGAGGACAAACAATGAGGGTTGCAGGAGCGGCCCAAAACAGGCTGCCAGTACCCCACTGGAACCTGGGTCTCTGCACCATGTCCCTGCCAGTGAAGAAGCTGTCATCCTACTACGATGCTGCACTTGCCTCTGTTTTGTTGAGGGGGAAGGCAAGAAAATAAAACAAACAAAGAGAGAAAGGGAGGCTGAGAGGTGAGCCCATCTTTCTTTCTTCAGTCAGCATTGCAAAGCAGAGGAGGTCATGCACTTTTCGGTCACCTCATAAAAATCACACAGTCACCCATTGCAAATCAACCAGTTTTCAATGACCACAAAAGCTGAAGATGCGTGAGGCACAAGAGTGGGTGAACTATGAATCCAGCATCTCTGGCTGCCCAGCCAGAGGCATGGTGTATGATATGTGGTGTATTATGTGTTGTGTTTTCTCTAGGGCCTTGGGGAGGTGGTATTTTTGGCCACACAGAGCATTAGGCGTGGATAACTAAGCAGTAGTTTGAACTGTGGCCGCTGAGTGCTCCATGCAGGAGTCATGCCGAGCCTATTGCTCCTCTAGCAGCGGTACGCTGCACCAACCATCCTAGGCTGCCTACAGGAAGGGCTCACAGAACTATCTTCTGCCTCCAAGAGCTGCTCTGATTATCCTGGGTAGGCAGAGCACTCCTGTCTGCCTGCTTCCAGGCAGGGAGGAAGAAGCGGAGCTGGGCTGTGTGATGGTGCTCAGTCCCACAGGGATTCTTCAGGAGTCAAGAAGAAGAGGAAAGCACCCCTTGAAAGAAGAGCAAGAGGGACTTCGAACCCTGAAGGTCCTCCTGGAGATGGTGAGAGGTAGGCATGGGGGAGGGCTTGGGGAGGGCCATTTGAGGTAGGGCGTGGGGAGGAGGGGGCCAGAGCAAGAGTGGATTTGTGGGAGAGGCAGCGTAGGGGCAGGTGGAGCAAAGAGGTTGAATCATTTGGGAACAGAGTATGCATAAAATTTGGAGGGCAGTGAGGTCAGAGCAGGTGCTGGTGGAGAGCCAGGAAGGAACAGAGCACAAGAAGAGCATAGTGAGAGTTGAATGAGGCCTTTGCTGATGAGAAATTATGTTGGAGGAGCTGCTCTAAAGCTGCATAAAATTTCCCAGAGGAGTGTGCTTGGGGCTCTTGGTTACCCTGCTCTGTCCTGGGGCCATGGGCAGGGATGCTCTCAGGTGGGAGACAAGTGTGTGTGGGCCAGGCCTGTGCCCACTCTGGGACCTTGGCAGCCCAGCAAATACCCAGGCAGAGTTTGAGAGTAGAGCTTGAAAAAAATAAATCACAGCCTCATCTATTTTAAGGCGGGAAGAGATGACTTTGATCATTGCTAAAACAGAGGCCATGGCAGAGTCCAGTGAGATGTGGCTGAGCTTTGCCTGTCTTTTAGAAAGGCACACAGTATATTTGAAATTCTTCCCTCATTAGGTTTTCTAATAGATAATTGCCCCTATGGTTCAAAATCTGCTTTGTTACTAGTCTCAGTTTTTGAGTTTCATCTTCTGTTCCCTGAGCCTGCTTATGCTTTCACCTTCCCAGTTAGGCCATGCTGTCAGATGTTTTCTCCTTTCTTCAGTATTTATGTGCACTGTGATCAAGTTGTCTCTTTAATTTCCTTCAATAAACTTAATAGACTGAGACTTGTTTCCATGCCTTTTCAATCCCTTCCCCAGCTGGAGGAGGGGAGGTGAGTGTCTGGCTCCTGGCCTTCCTCCAGCAAGCTGTTCCCACCCACCTTCCTTCCTCAGTCACACTTTGGTTGCAGAGCTGGGAAGGGGACTACTGAGACCTGTGCTTCTCCTCTCTCGGGTCTGGGTGCTGTCAGAGGGGAACCTGCTCCTGTGATTCTCCTTGCTTAAAAGAAATGATGAGGTGCTTTTGCATGCCCAGGCCATCTTGTGGTGCTGCACCAGTGTGAATTGGCTGTGATAAAGCTGCCTCAGGAGCCTGCATATCTGAAAAGCCCCATGAAAACAGCATGCAGAGGAAGAAATGGAAGGTGTAATTTTTTTATTTAGTCTGTAAAGGTGTAGCTTTTGTTGATCCTGAGGTGAGAAGCGAGAACCGTTTTTAGAACAGGGTACCTAACTCCTGGGACTCAGATCAGCCCTCTGGGCTATGCCAAGCCAAGGAGTAGAGCAGTAATACCTTGCTGATCTCCACAGACCTGTATCACAGAGGGGTAAAGCAAGGTGTGGTGATGTGACCGGGGACACACAGCAAGTCTGTGGCAGAATCAGGGTTAGAAATAAGGAACTTCAAGTGCTTGATTGAAATATGATGAGTGTTTCCCATCTTTGGCTTGAAGATGGCAATTCAGTGTAGACAGTCTTGTGTCTTGCTTGCTCTTTGTTCTTTTTTGTTCTAACATTGCTGAGGGAGAGCTGCAATCCTGCCAAAGTGTGTGTTGTCAGTCAGCTAATTTGGGGTGTCTACTTGCTGGGATTCTGGATGAGTGTAGATATCAACCCATGGGTAGCCTCTTGCAGGCTCAGGGCTCAATAGGCTACTCCAGGCAAATGCTGAGCCTCACCACAGAGGTAAAAGAAAGTATTTTTACCACAAAGTATAAGAAATGCACAAAGAAAAAAGAAATTCTAGGTCCTATCAGTTTTAGGAATATCTGGTTTTGCTTATAATAATATACATATTGTAATAATATACAGACAATATTTATAGACTTTCTTGGTAGAGATGTTTTACTAGAGTCAGTTTGTTGTTGTTGGGGGGATATTGGGGCAGAGATAGCATACACAGCGCTGGAAAAAAATGTAGAAAATAAAAGCTGAAAAAGAAAGCCAAACCCAGCAACCTTCCATTAAGGAGCCTGCCTGCCAGCCAGGAGTCTCTTAAAGGGACTCTGGCTGGCTGTTTTATTAAGTGTGACAAAGTGATGGGAGGTGGGGGGGAGCTCCTATGTTAATAAGTTGGAAAGGCACTGCTGTTCCTTTTGCCGGAGCATCTCAGGGAAAGTGGAATTAATTCATGGCATATGCTCCCAGCATCTGCCGCGGTGACCCGGGGTGGCGGGAGCGCAGTGCCAGGCAGCGTGAGCCACAGCCCCTATTCCCGCTCCTCTCCCGGGCCTTGCTCGCCGCCTGCCCGTGGCTGAGCGTGGGGGCTGCGTGGCCAGGGTCTTTCCCTCTGAAGAAGGAGACATGTTCTAGACTTCAGAGGGAGAAAGGGATGTTCAGATAGAAAAAAGAGCAATTCAAATGGAAACTGATCCAGTTTGTCCCAAGCAGCCTTAATTCCTCCTCCAACATCCCCTGACCGAGTCCTCCCTTCTCCTGTTCTCCTCCCATCTGACTTGTTCTGGGGCTCACTGTGAGGCTCTGACTCCTCAGTCTCCCTCTTCCTTCTTTCCCACTGCCTCTCTACAGCTGATTTGTTCCTCTCTTTGATAGAGGGGACAGAGGTTATATTTGCTGTTAGGTGGGATCTCATTCTCTGTTTAATGGCTCCTGGGAAATAACTTACCACACCTTATTTCCCCTTGACTGACCTGCACCATGGCCAGGAGCTGTAGCCAGCTGGTACAGGTGGGTGCACTGTGGTGTTTCCAGGCTGCCATGATCTTTGCCTGTGCTTCATGCTCTGCGTGTGAGCTTTCCCTTGGGAAAGGGCACCCAGAGCCAACCCCCCCACTGGCTGCTCTTTCTTCAGCCACATCCTTTTAGCTTTTTGGGCAACTGCCTGGGATATGGGACACTTTCCTGGCCTGGAGAGCTGACAGGAGAGACCAGAGTAGTGTGTGATCCCCAGACAGGGCAGAGGTGCCCCATCCTGCTTTTGTGCCCTCGTAGCAACTGACCCCACACCTCAGCAGCTTCTCCTGCTTTTACTCCCTTTTCAGTCTGGGCTGCGCTGGGACTGTGCAGCGCTGAGAGAGAGCCAAGGCAGG